TGAGTTGTGATCTTCGCAGCTGGTTTTTGAGACTTTGGACAGTTGAGGTATGATATATATGAGGTGTTGGGAGTGTTGGAATGGTGTGAAATGCCTCAAGTAAAGATTTGGCCTCCAAAGTGCGTGAAAGTCAACATACTAAGGTATGAAGGTTAACTTTTAGGAAAATGATGTTTTTGGGTGGTTTGAGTGTATGGAAACCTTCTACACAATGTTTATGGATTGTGTAAATGGTTTTGAGTGGCTTGGAAGTGGTGGAACTGAGTTTGAGCAGAGTTTTGCTTAAGACAGTTTTTTTAGTGAAAACTTGAAGTTTTTGAAAAATGAAGCTTTTGAGAAAATGGTGGAGAGTTGAGAGTTTTTGTTTCTCTTGGTTTTTAAGAGTTCTCTGGTATGTCTAGCATCATAGAGAATGCCTCTATTTATAGTGAAGATGAACATGAGGGCAGATTTGGATTTTTCATTTTTGGAGGGAGATTGTGAAGAAATCTTGCCAAAATCTTTGTGGCAGCTCTACACATCAGTTCTATGACTCAAGGCAAGCAAAAATCAAGTGGAATGATGGACATGAGGTGACTGAATAGAGCTTAGAGTGTAGAGTGAGCAACTGCCGCAGTTCTTGGAGGAAAAGTTTCTCTTTCCTCTTACACATTTTTTATTATTTTATTACAAGTTGCTTGCAACTTGCCTCTCTCTTCATATCTCTCATTTTTCTGCATTTTCACTCATCCACACCTCTAATTATTATATTGGATCATAATCCAAGGGTCAAGGATAGCTCAAGTTGTGGAAATCTGAATTTTGAGAAATTTTGACATAGTGGTTTCAAGTGTGGCAGCCCCAACTTCCATGGCCCATAACTTTCTGCTCACAAATGCTATTGAGGAGTTCTACCACGATTTAGAAAGCCCTCAAGTAGCTCTATAACTTTCATGTTTTTGAGATTTCTAAATTCTAGATGGAACTAGGTTGAAAAACCCTTCAAAGTTGTTAAACAAACAAGCCTAAAAGTGAAATTTTTCTAAGTTATTTTCCCTTCTTGAAATGAATTTTGTCATAACTCCAAATCTATGCATTTTTTGACCATGGACCACTTTGGGGATTTTGTAGGACTTGTCAAGAGCTTTCTAATGAGATTTTAACCACTTCATTTGGATGTGTGTTTGAGGAGTTATGGTCTTGCCCCTTTTGAAACCCTAATTCCTGATTTTTGCAATTACTTCTTAACCCTTGATCCAATGGTCATGAAATTTTATGGGAAGGTGTAATATGACATAAGGAACATTTTTTATTCACATCTTGAAGTCAAATTCCTCATTGTTGAAGAGTTGACTTTTCGGTCAACCGTTCGATCAGTCGGTGACTACCGAGTCGACTGTTGGGGCTCCGGGTATTCTGAGGATTTGAAACTCTTTGGATAGACTTTACTAAGCCATAGGAACTTAATGGACCTTGATCCCACCATTGAAACACCTTTTAAATCAAAAGTCAAACTACAGTTGACTTTCCTGATCGAAAACCCTAATCGGGTATCTTGAACTGCACTGTTCTCAATTCTTGGGTGACCACCTCAAATTGAATTCATACTTGACCCAATGTTGTATTCTTGATATTGTTTGAAATTGAATCAATCCAAAACATTGATTGATCAAACCATCAAAGCCTCGATTTCGACGATTCGGAACCCTGATTCATCTGCATCTTGACAAAGACAAACTTGAAATGGGTTAAGATTAGTTAATCAAATGAATATGATCCTAAAATAATGATGAGGATATAAGGGGTCAAAATTTGGGGTGCAACAGAGAACAGTCGCTGATCATTGTATGTAATGTAATGAAGATTGTAATGTAATGATAAGCTTCTCGGACGAGAACGGTCACTGATCGTGGTTGAAAGATGTAATGATAAGCTTTTCGGCAGAGAACGGTAGCTTATTGGTAAAGGCGTTGTAAGAGGCTCTTTTTGAAAGATAATGAAAAATAAATGCACGTCCAGGTAGGTTCGGCGACTGACAGGACCGTTGTTCAATCTAGAATCGAGCTAGAAAGAATCTGTTAAATAAGATTCCATTGAACAAATGTCCGGAGAGATAACTGAAATAACCATTGTCCACGAGATTTGAGCTCTGTGGGGGAAACTGGAAAAAGCAGGTATTTTATGCTTAGGGCTGACTATCTATTCGGGGAGAACGGACAAACCCAGTTACTCGGTAGTAACGACAAAGGATGACACGGATAGCAAAACAATGTAGATGCGAATGCGTATGTCGATGTGTATGTAAATGTGTATGAAAATGTAATGAGGAGGCAATGCCTAGGCTCATGCATATGCTGACAAAACAGACGAGAGAGGAGACGGGAGATGAAATAAACATCTCGATGGGATACCCGACGACCTCTACAAAAGTACATCTATCAAGGGATAGGAAAAGTTGGTGGTAGAACCAAATCTTGCTTTAAAGTCCCATATTCTCTGGGGAGAAAATAATCCACTTGGGGATACAATACGACCTCACTGTAGAGTACGATGTTAAGACTTCACTGGAGGGATTGCTATCATGAACCATAATCAGCCAAAGGACTCTTAGGATTATAGACTTCTGGGGATAAAATAAATATCCGCTTCGCTGAGAAGATGTGGAGCTGGGCAGCTTCATGGATGAAAGTGTAGCAACTTCCTAGGAATAGTACATCGGCTTCCTAGGTAAAAGGTACATCCAACTTCCCTGGGGATAAACTATATCAGACTTCCCTGAGGAGAGTTCATCATACTTGCTGAGGAGAATTCACCAGACATTCTGGGGAAAGTATCTTGACTTCTTGGGGAGAATTTCCTAAGGAAAGTAGGCAATTTCACCGAGGAACAGATGATTCCACTAGGAGTGGGTCTTCAAGGACACAGAACATATGGAGGATACTGGGGATATCTCTGCAGTCCTGAGAGTCACTGGGGATTTATCGGATGGATCCAAAAAGTGTTGTCAGCTTAAAGTCTTGCTGGGGACTATTTCTTGAGTAAAGTATGGCAACTTCGGTGAGGAAAAGACGATTCCACCTGAGGAGTGGGTCCTCAAATAAAAGGTGTCAACTGGAAGATACTGGTAGGATCTCTGTATGCTTGAAAGTCATTGGAGATTACCAGATCAGTCCAAAAGTGTTGTCAGCTTAAAGTCTCGTTGGGGACTAGGTTGAGCTTAAAGTCTTGCTGGGGACTGGTCTGAGGAAATGATTTAAAAGCGCTTCTGCAACGATGAGGCTTATTGGGGAATGAAGAGATCCTTCAGAGATTTCCACAAGTCAAAGCAACCTTTATTTTCAAATTCATTTTTGTTACACCCTAATTTTGACCTTGGTTCGTGAGTTGTACATATCATTGCATTTTCATCATTTATGCATTATTCATGTCATCGACCATTGTGCATCTAGAATTTGTACCTTTTGTTCCGTGTTGTCTGAGCTCAAGTTTTGCAAGTTTGAATCAAGGATCAGGAAAAGTTATCATGTCAAGTTATCAGGTTGTGGAAAAGATTTTGAATCAGGGATTTAGCCCTCAGCAAGTCATTGTTGCATCAGTGTGCACTCGAAGCGAAGATTAGGGTTTCTCAGCCTTTGTGAGCAAGTGTGGCTTAGTTAGGTTTCATTTGGGGCTAGCAGGCTCATTGTGTTTTGTTTCAAAAAAAAATTATTGGGTTGTGGCAAAGGAAGTTTGTTTCAAGGCAAGTGTGGGTTGAATTCAAATACTTATGTTTGAAGATCAAGATTAGGGCTTGGTGTGAAACTCAAGTTGATCTGATGAAGTCAAGTTGTAAGAGCCATCAAAATTCAAGGCATTCAGTCAGTACTTTACGCCTGGACTATGTGGTTTGTGCTCCTGTCATGGATGACTTCAAGCTTTCTATCCAATCCGAAATAATCGCAGGATGAAATTAGGATGTGAGTTTAAAATGTTGAAATTTGGTTTTGAGAAGGCTTTGTTGGATCAAGTCAGGAGTGTCAAAATTGTTTCAAGTGGTTCACTTGTGGATATGATTCACGGTTTGGTTCAAATTACCATTATATTAAAAATTCGTTCTTCCCCCAAAAATCCATTTTTGAAGACCCATTTATGTTCTTATCAAATTCTCATTATCCAATCCATCTCCAATTTCAACTTCGATTCTATTTTGATTCAATTCAAATTTCGATTCTATTTCTCAAATCAAGCTCATTTCTATTTCAATTTTTTTCCCAAATTTCAATTCATATTTTTTTAAGTTCAAATTTCATATCAATCTCAAGTTCAATTCAATGTTCAAATTTCATATCAATCTCAAGTTCCAATTCATTTTCCATTTCTTCTCAAATCCAATATTTTTCAAAGTTTCAAGTTAAAATTTCAATCAAGTTCAAGGTTTCAATTATCAAATTTAAATCCAAGAGCAAACTCAATCTAAACCAAAATTCTTTTAGGCCCATTTAGCATTTTAATTTACAAGAAAAATTTATAAAAAATTGCAATTCACTAAAGAATTTTTCACCCATATACCCTACAAAACACCCCCTAAATCCCAAACTACCCAACATTTCCCCATATATCCCAATCTACCCATGTTTGGGTTTTTTTTTTTAATTTTATACAAGGGGGCGCCATGGGGGTTGGAGCCACCCTACAAATTATAAAAGGGGCGCCATACCCATTGGAGCCTCCCTTAAATGCCCTAAAGGGGGGCGCCGTGCCCCATGGAGCCTCCTTTAAACGAAATTTTCAAAATCAAAAATATTATAATTAATAGAATTAAAATTTAATATTATGTTATTCCAAAAAAAATTTTATAAATAGGTAGAGTTGTTGGTAATATTGGTTCATCCAAATTTAGAAGAGTTGGTAACATTGGTATTTTTAATGATATGCGTTGTTACTCTAGAAGTATTTCAATTTGTGTATGTGGTAACCAAAAGTTGTTATAAATATTAAATTCCAAGGTTACACATTTTTTAATTTAAATGACAAAAGTAAATCTATCTAGAACTTGTTCCAACATTTGGACAACTATTCCTCGTATGCCCGGGAAGACGACATATTCCGCACAATCTTTCTATTTTCTCAGTTGTATCCATTTCAGTTGTAATTCGGGTGCTTTTTGGGCGGCCCTTTTTGTTTCTTCTCATATTTTCGTTGTGGTAGATTGTGTCTCCATGATATGTTGGCCAATAGTCCTCACTAGCTACCACTGGAAAACTGTTATTATAGATACCGAATAAGTTCACAACCTTGTAAACATCTGATAACAGCAAGAATGGATCGTGACGAGCACTGGAACATGCGGCAATGACATGTGAACAAGGCATGCGGAAGGTTTGAAACTTTCCGCAGTCGCACCAATTTTTATGAAGTTCCACCCTGTAGTGTCCCATTGGTCGACCCTCATTGTGATCCATTGTCTCGTCAACAATGAAGTTGTAATCGTGACGATTAAATGGTATGACTCGATGTGAGGCTGCCTTAGAAGTTTCATCCTTCATATATTTCATACTTGATTCGCTGAATAATTGCCCTGATTACAAAACAGCGCTCCATTTTTTGCCTCTTGACGCAAAAAGTGAGCCCAATCTGTAATAGGTAGCTCTTACCAACGCAGTGATGGGGAGGTTCCTAGTTCCCTTAAATACGCCGTTTAGGGATTCTACAAGATTTGTGATCATGTGACCCCATCTGCATCCTCCATCAAAAGCCCTTGTCCATTTCTCGACTGGAATGTTATCCACCCATCTTAATGCTTCTGCGCTCGACAATCTTATTTCTTCACAGTAATACATGAACGATGGTTGGTTTAAGGAATACCCAGCGTTCAAAACTTTTTTCCGGAGATTTCTGTCCTTAATGTCCCGCATAAAATTCTGGGCAATGTGTCTTATGCAAAAGACATGGACAGAAGGAGGATTGTGCCAACCATTTGCAGGATTGTTGTAGGCGCTCATAATGGAAGCATGTCTGTCGGAAATCAGACATAAGTTGGGTTGAGGAGCAACATGTGTTCTAAGATTTCTAAGGAAGAAACTCCAAGCTTCGCCTGTCTCACCCTTGACCAAGGCAAAGGCAATCGAAAATATATTATTATTTCCGTCTTGTGCAACCGCCATCAACAATGTTCCTTTGTATTTTCCATACAACCATGTTCCATCAACTTGAATAACCGGTTTGCAGAACGCAAAATTTTGGAATAACATAATATTAAATTTTAATTCTATTAATTATAATATTTTTGATTTTGAAAATTTCGTTTAAAGGAGGCTCCATGGGGCACGGCGCCCCCCTTTAGGGCATTTAAGGGAGGCTCCAATGGGTATGGCGCCCCCTTTATAATTTGTAGGGTGGCTCCAACCCCCATGGAGCCCCCATATAAATTATAAGGGAGGCTCCAACCCCCATGGCGCCCCCTTGTATAAAATTAAAAAAAAAAAACCCAAACATGGGTAGATTGGGATATATGGGGAAATGTTGGGTAGTTTGGGATTTAGGTGGGGAAATGTAGGGTATATGGGTGAAAAATTCTTCACTAAAGCATGCTGCTCCACAACGTACGACATCAAAAACATCACACCAGGGTCGTACAACTTTCACAAACATAAAGTATGCTACAAAATACCACAACAACACAAATCCTAAAAAATAATGCAAACTCCAAAACCTCACCAGCCTGCCCCCTGCTGCAACGTACTACAGTCCTGCCGGCAAAATGTAAAAGCATGCAAGACAACAAAGTTTGAATCGTGGGCAAGCATGTTTATATAATACAGCAACATGGTACATATCACCTTGCCATTATCACACCAGACAAAACCACTACAGTTCGTACACAACTACAACACTTTACCCTGCTACCCCGCTCCAAAAATCTGCGAACAACAGCCATTACAACCCGCACAAGCCATCGTCACACTGCACCTGCTAATGGAACCGTACCTACACGACCAAAGTTGCAACATAAAACTTCACAACTCGCGTGATAAACGTTCCGTCCAACATCCACTATCTCCTTCCATATCTCACACCAGACCACATTCCATCCAAATCCTTCACAAGCGACAAAACCTGCCCTTTGTCTCTAACCTGCAAGTCGTACCTCCCTCAATAACCTACACTTCACACCAGATCAAACCTGATGCTATCCGTACAGCAACACAACCGCAAAATCCCGCTCCTCACAAGGCACGACCTACACATAAAAACAAATCGAAAACTAACACTAAGGAAGGAAGTTTGGCGTTGTTAAATAAAAAAAGAAAAAACAGAACAACATTAAAAAGAGGAAAAGGCCACAACATAACCTGGTTCTTTGGAGACACCCTCAAGAAACCTTAGCATCATATAAGCCATCATCTTCTCTTCACCATTGGAGAACAACATTTCACCTTCTTAAACAACACCAAAACTCTTGCTGAATCCACAATAACAACGCCACACAAAAAAATCATCACTTCCATACCATGTGATCACTAGAGATCAAACATCAAACACCTCATTCACGAGCTATAACTGAAACATCGCCATTGCAGTCCATTATCCAAAACTGGTGGTGTTCTTCGCGTTTCCGACACGGGTACCTCGCCATTGTAGATCCGCTAACTCCACAGCAAAACTCAGCCCTCATTATCAGGCTCTACCATAACTACGCGCATCCATTTTAACACCGACAACAATCTCAACTGCCCCATTTTAGTTTCACCGTTTTTCGCTGACAAAACAACAACATTATTCAGATCCACTCTCTCGACCTTCAATCCACCATTAAACCCAAATTTTCTTCAAATCCACCTTAAACCTTCACAAACCTTCAACCTTTTCTCTCAACCAAACCGCGACAGTGTCTTAAAACTAAAACCCTCCCAATTTGTGATTCAAACCAATTTTGGGAGAATGGGAAGAAGAAAAGGCCACAAAATTAAGATGAGGGAGACGAAGATGAGTTGAAACGTGATTACCAAGAGAGATGGATGGAGACGAGATCCAACTGGGTGGCGGAGGATTTGAATGAAGAAAATCCGATTGTGCTTCCACAGCCGTTTTATCTTTACTTGAGTAATTCTTTCTTTAATTTTATGTGAAAACCTAGTTTTTGTGTTTTAATGGGCTTTAAGCCCATATTTTTGATACATCCACCACCTTTTTGAAATCAGACCCGCACCATCGTTTGGTTTACTATGTTATTTTTTTTATATAGCCCATAAGACTTTCCTCTCCTTGTACCATAGGTGAATCATGTATACCCCCTCTTCGCTTTTTTGTTTACTTATTTATTTATTTTTATAAAGAAGGGGGGTTTTAGTTTTGTTTTCTTTTAATACGTTTTATTTTTCTTGCAAATGTTTAATATTGGTTCTCAAATATATTGCATATTTTAGGTTATTCCATTTCGAGCTTATGTTCAATTTTGGTCTATGAAAGCCTTTTACATCATGAATGTCGATCGTTGAGGTTGTTTAACCTTCAAATTTTCAAATCTGTAGTGAATGATCATCGAGATCATTTTCTATACTTTGGGATCGTGATAGGTTACCTTCGATTAATTGACAAAAGTTTGTGATTAAGACGAGACCGTTTGCTTTTCTTTTTGTGTTGCACGATTCCTTAGAGAGATTCACAATATCATTTCTTTATTTTGTTTTGGCACATAAATTGTCATTGAGCGGCCTCCTATAGCATGATCTTCCTCATAGATCATGCTACGAGTGTTTAGCGCTAAAGTGGACCGGTTTCATCCGTTTAATGATTTTAATTTCAGTCTAATTTTCTTTTGTTTTATTATTCATATTCATCTTATCATCATATCTTGTTTATATCTCATTCAAAACAAAACAAGAAAAACATGACAACACTGTCGAAACCCTAAAAGAATTTCAAGTGGTGGACTGTGGTTGCTAATTTTGGCATCATGGAGTTGAGACATCGGACAGAAACCCTAGCAAAGAAGCTGCAGATTACGGTTATCTCTATTCTCATTTACTGTAAGCTTAGAACACTTGCACACGTGCGGCCTCTAGACAATATATTTCTCGCAATCCCGTATATTTTATATGTACGTCACTCCCATTTAGATGTATGCCCTTTTCTAGTGCTCTTCTTTGATTGTACTCTGATGTTTTAAACCATTTCTCAAAATATTTCTCGATCCAATGTCGAGTCACTTTCCACCTTGTAAGTCGATTGCTTTTAAATCACCGCCATCAACCTTTTGGTCACCATACACAACATTTAAAGCTTAATCAAGGGCTTCCTTACAGTGATACCTATTTGATCAATTATTTCTAGTTGGTCACTTAGAAGACTAGCCCACTTTGCTAGTATACACGATTAAAATTTAACTTAATTGCCTGTTTATTTATCGAAACTCTAAACTTAAACTTCGATTCACATTGAGAATTTTTCTCGAATTAAATTAATATACTTAATCATATTTAAACACTATTTCGATAAAGATGAAAAGGGAGTTGGAATTGAGCCTTTGATTTCTCTTCTCAATTGTTTGGGCCCGAGGAGCCTTTCTTAAGTCCAAACAATTGTCTTCTTTAAAAAATGTACAATACGACAAACTCAAAAACTTATTTTTCTAAACACTTAGATGAAAAAGAGAGAGAGTCAAGCCTTTGACTCACTTTCCCGATTACTTGGGCCCGAGAAGCCTTTCTTAAGCTTCGAGTAATCGTCATTCATTTAATCCACGATAATTATATCAAAATTATTCCTTAATATAATATGAAAAAGAGAGAGAGTCAAGCCTTTGACTCACTTTCCGGATTACTTGGGCCCGATGAGCCTTTCTTTAGCTTCAAGTAATCCTCATCTGTTTAAAATACTTCAACCATATTCCATCGTTCAATACACCATATCCTTTCACCGTTAAGGATGAAAAAGAGAGAGAGTCAAGCCTTTGACTCGCTTTCCTGATTATTTGGGCCCGAGAAGCCTTTCTTAAGCTTCGAGTAATCGTCATCTGATCAATCTTACTCGAACCGCATCCTATCCTTTCACAATTGAGATGAAAAAGAGAGAGGGTCAAGCCTTTGACTCGCTTTCCCGATTACTTGGGCCCGAGAAGCCTTTCTTAAGCTTCAGGTAATCGTCACCTCTAGCTAAACATCTGATACGTCAAACTTCGTTTCCTCGCCCTCGTGCGACCAAAACCCTAAAGCTTATTCAAATCTAACCCTTCTTCAAATCTATTCTCTTCAAACATCCATAACATCAACATATTAATTCAATTTCTCGCCGCCGTGCGAACCTTCAAACCTTTTCTTAAACGAGAGGTATGGTGTCTTAAGAACGACGCAAAATATTGCTTCGTCCGTAACCTACTTGAGTCGATATAAGTGGCGTGTTCCCCATGAATGTTGATATATGGAAATCCATTCAAAGTGGTGCAAGCATCCTCTCCTCACTAGTTTAGATAAAGCAATATTCTCTGTTGAATACGACTAAGTATCTTTCATTAAGTCAAACCGGCAACCGTAGGGCGAACTACGGCTGCTCTGAT